TTTGGGGGTTTTTTGAGCAGTTCTAACCATTTGTATGGATTAATATTTCTTGACTTTATTCTTTCTTGGAGATGTTCCAAAGAGAATATACTTTTTTAAAATAAAGAGAATAAAATTCATCGTACCTTGTAATTACCATATAATAGGTCCATATAATTATAATTATATAATAATAATAATATGTAGTATGTAATATAATATAATTACCATGTAATAGGATCTACTAGCCTCTTTTAAAAATTTAAGATCCATTATGGAATCTTAATGATTCTATTTTTCCTGTATCTTGAAATGCTTTGCTAGTTCATCATCTTAAAATAATTACCTACCAGTTATGCATTAATTACTCCCAACTATGCTTTAAAAAGACTAAAGTAACAGAAAAATGGACAGATGATGGAATAGCTTAGAACTACACTGCTGTTCAGTGATGACTGAAATGTTTTATTCTGTGTTGTTCAATACAGTAGCACTAGTCGCACATGGCTACAAAGAATTTGATATGTGGCTAGGGCAACTGAAAAAGTGCATTTTTATTTTTTGAATTTTAATGAATTTAAATAGCTACATGAGCCTGATGCCTACTGTACTGAACAGTGCAGGCTTAGAACGATTCATTAGGGAAATAAATTGTCACTATTTCATCACTCTTCATACTTTATTGTGCTGCCTAAAGTGTTACATCATCTTTACAAAAGATATAGCAGAAGACTGGAGATACCATCTCTGTAGTTTGTTTTTAACTTTCTTTTCATGTTATTTTTTTATTTATTTATTTTTTGGCCATACCGCGCGGGTTGCGGGATCTTAGTTCCCTGACCAGGGATCGAACCCGGGACCCCTGCAGTGGAAGCGTGGAGTCTTAACCACTGGCCGCCAGGGAATTCCCTGCTTTTAACTTTCATTGGCCAGAGTGGAGATTCAGAACGTTTCATTCCTGCCTATAATGACAAAGAGAAGAAAATCGACGGAGGGAGAGGTTTCCCAGGCGTTAGAAGAATCAGAGACAAATGCTTAGAGTCAGAGAGCAACACTCAAGACCCTGATGATGATGATGAAATGAAATTAATCATGAAAGTGAAACCTCAGACCATGAGTCTTCCAATGATGATATTCTAGATTAATTCTCTCAAACTCAAGAGTCTATGAGGGAACAATATTTTTTTCTAAGGACAAAAAGAAAATATGGTATTCCCATGCAGTTAGTCGTCCAGGGGAAGGAATTCATCAAACATTATTTTGCAACAAGAACCTGGACCATGCCATTTTGCTAAATGAACGTGGGACAGTCTTCTTTCACCTTTGATGATATTTGTACACCAAAATTTACTCTGTATACAGTATGTAAATGAAATGCCACAGGTGGGTATGTACAGAAAGGTGATTAGAAAGAAAAAGATGAAAAAAAAAAAATCTCTGGATTGATATTTTTAAAAAGTTAAAAAGGTCCATTGGACCCAACAGTAAATGGTGATGACTATTTTTTTTTTCCTGGTATTATACGGAGACTTTGTGTACTGTACTAGTTAAAGTACTAGAGAACTTATATAAAAGGGTAAAACTCCAGAAATAAGGTAAAAAATTGTTGTCTTTATATTAAATTAGTAATCTTGGAATGGTTAAAAGCGTGAAGCTTGGAGCTATATACACAGCCTTGGGCTGGGATCCCAAGTCCAATTCTTAGTAGTGCATGACCTCTGGCAAGTTACCCGGCCTCTCTAAGATCCAGTTCCCTCATCTGTAAAATAATGGTTAAATAATTACTTCCTCTTCTATAGAGTTTTATAGAGACTAAACTTCCATGCGAAGTGTTTAGCAGAGTGCTTGCCACATAGGAAACGGTAGACATCAGCGATGGATAGTGATTTTATTTTCCTTGAGTTGCTTAGACCCGCTCTCCTTATCTATTGATCTGGGAACCCAACATATGTGAACTAGTAACTGTATTCTATCTGCTGCCTCCAGAATTTATCATTGCCGATACCAGCAGCTCACATCAGGGACCCACATCCTAAGCGAAGTGAAGCCAGGAAGGAGAAGACATCACCTCCAGAGGTCAGGCTGCTCTGGGCGGGTGGACGGAACCACAGGTGATGCTGCAGAGGCCTGAGCACCTCAGGCTTTTCAGCCCAACTTTAATCTTCTCTTACACAGTATTTCCCCACCACCACCACCGCACACACTCTGATATTTAGATTGAGCAAGTATTACTTTAATAAACTCAAATTTACACAGAAAATAAGGGAATGAGTAAAAACCTCCTGAAGTCTCACCATCCGGAGTAAACATCATTATCCTTCCAGGCTTCTCTCTGTACACACACATACATATGCACACAAGTTTTTAAGACATAAGTTCACACTATACTGCTGTTTCATGCCTGTTTTTGTACCCAAGAATATCTTTCTAATTCATTCAATAGAGATCTCCATGTCAGTCCCAGTAGGGTTCTAACCTTAAACCGCTAAATTTTGTGTACACACAAAGCGGTCGTAAAAAGTGGTCGACAAAAGAAAATACTAACATCTGCCTTTAAATAATGACTTAGATCAAAAACTGGGGTGAGCTGTGAGGTTTAAGTAGATTTGAAAAAACAAGTAAAAGTCAGAGGCATTTGGTTCTTTTTCATGAAAATACTGGAGAGAATGAAGACCTGGGCTCTGGACGTGCTGTGTGGCACACACCCCATTCCCTACATGGCTATTACTTGTGGAATGTGAAACTTGTGGAACTGAATCTTCTAATAAAATGAGATCTTGCCTGTAAACCTCGGTCCGTACATTTTCAGGGTTTAAAACCTTATTTCAACTAGATCACAGCTCTTTCGATCTTGGCATCAAAAAGTTATTTCTGAGTGCTAAACAAATAGGAAAACTGTGGACCTGGACTCAGTCTTGCTTCTCACTGCCAGGCTGGGGGTTCACTCCGGAGGCCACACACGTGTGAGTCCTTATCCCCTGGGTGCCACCGTATCCCTGAATACACCAGTGGTCTGTAGATTTACATAACCGAGGCTTCACCTCGGGGGACACTTAAGGGACCTTCATCCAGAACCCTGACCTCATCACTTCTGGGACCCTGCCAGAAGTAATAAGCGTGGATGAAAGATGTTAACATACCAATATTATTTTTACCCATTTTTATATTCTTCTTATTATTTTGGCTACTGCTTAGAAAGTTGAGTGTTTAGGCTTCCCCGGTGGCGCAGTGGTTGAGAGTCCACCTGCCGATGCAGGGGACGCAGGTTCGTTCCCCCGTCCGGGAAGATCCCACATGCCGCGAAGCGGCTGGGCCCTGAGCCATGGCCACTGAGCCTGCGCGTCCGGAGCCTGTGCTCCACAACGGGAGAGGCCACAACAGTGAGAGGCCCGCGTAACGCAAAAAAAAAAAAAAAAGAAAGTTGAGTGTTTTTGCCACTCCAACCCTAGATAATCAGTATCTCTTGGGAGCTTGTTAAAAATGCAAATTCTCAAGTCCCACCCTGGACCTACTGCATCAGACACTCAGGGGTCTGGGCCCAGCAATCCATGTTTTAACAAGCCTCCAGGAAATCCTGGTGCAAGCTAAAGTTTGAGAATACTGGCCTAGTGGAAAGAACCTGGGATGGGAGCCAGGAGACCCGATTCAGATTCCAGCTCTGGATTCCATGGTTCCGTTCAGTGAGAATTAATGAATAGTCACGATGTGCCTCTCTGTGTGTCGAGGCTAATGCAAGGATGTGAGGATACTGAGATGAGCTAGATGAAGTCCTTATCCTCAGATGGTGTCTAACCCTGTATATTCCTTTGTTTCTCCTGGGTAGGGGCTACCTTGCGGTTATTCTTGTTTTGTTTCATATTTGTATTCCTAGTGCCTGCAGCATCACAAGCACTCAATACATATGCAGTGGGCCAAGTGGTAAACCATTCACCACTGTGATAAATACCACTGTACCATTCATCAATAATCTTAACGCTATTCCAGTCTAGTTAACACTATCCACCGTTTATTTAATGCTTATCACATGCCGGGTGCTGAGTGCTCTTCATATATCAGCTCGTTCAATCTTTTTACATGTCCTGTACTGTGGGTCATATTTTTAACCCCAACTTGTACATCAAAAAATTGAGGCTTGAAATATTAAGTAATTTGGCTAATGTCATATACTGATAGTGGTAGAGCCCGAGATGAACCCAGAAATACCTTATTCCAAAGCTCATGGTCTTAAATGTGGTGGAGTTCTTCTTCAAATCCCACAAATGCAAAAGCCAACTTTAGGGCAAATTTCCAACCTCTAAGCTTACTGGCTGATTATCTTTTCACTACGTACTTACAACCGCACTTTGCAGGCATCACCTTAAGCGGTCAACGAGTGCCTGTATTTTTCCTCATTTTTCAGTAGATTGATATTTGGTTTTCATTGCACTCAAGAAAGTAGAGCGCGGCGGGGGGGACTCCACTAAATACTTCACTGGACTGTTCTGACCCTTAAAAGTCAGACCAAAATTGCTGCTAAGAACAAAAGTGATTGTACAGGCCACGCCACGGCAGACTTGCAAGGGCACTGGCAGAGAAGGCCGGTTCCAGAGGGCTGAGCCTTGCGTGGAGTATCCCAAGTAAGGCAGGCCATGGAGAAAGGGACAGAGGTTAGGCTAGCCCAAAGCGTGAAGACATGAGGAGGCTGGGGTGTGGACATCACATCACAGTCCAACATGCAGAGTAAAGGCAAACAAAGCAGCAAACAGGAGACGCAACCAAAAGTCTGCAGTCAGCTTGAGGCTCCAGTGCCTGGGATTAGCTTCAGCTCCTGATGAAATGATGCCTCTTGCTCCCTCACCATTTAGGCTATCCTTGTGTGCTTCCTTTTTCCACCCACTGTTAGTCAAAGATTAACTTGACATCTGCTACCTACTATTTTCTTGTGAACAGTTCAGGGCCCGGAGGGATCTGGGTGGGGTTATTGAAGGCGGTAGGTACTGAGAAAAGGAAAAGGGGATTTATACCACAAGCAAAGGTCTTACCTTACTAGGAGGGGGTCCATGGTCATCTAAGTAAGTGGAATTTCCTAGGAAAAAAGAAGAAAACGTTGATGAATTAACAGTCTTAAACCCCAAATGAATTTAGTGCAAAGTCATTGAAAATAAGTACTCTAGATGTATTTCTATTCAGACAAAAGTCCCAAAGGAAAATGGGTAATTAATCTCCAGTTTGGTGGGACTTTGCTGATACTACCAGGCTTGGTTAACAGTTTCAGCAGTTACAAACACTCTACCCATGTGGGTACGTATGCACACGGACATACACATACAGAAACATGCACCATCATTCTCCACCCAATATCTGTTGAGTTTACTTTAGACCAGTGGCTCTCAAACTTCAGCGTGCATCAGAATTACCTGCAGAGCTTGCTAAAACACAGACCGCCCCGCCCTGAGGTTCTGATTCAGTAGCTCTGAGAATTTGCATTTCAATCTCCCAAATGATGCTGATGCTATGGGTCCTGAAACGGCACTTTGAGAACCACTGCATTGTTTCTCCACTTTGTCTTGTCAATTTCCCTTCATCTTTTCAGTCTAGCTTGCTTCCGAAGCTTGATTTGTCTTCCCTAATAGCCACTTAGTGGCATGGCTGTTTTTTCAGAGTGCGTGGTTATTGTTTCCTGATGAATAAAGACTCAGGGGGATTCTGACCGGAACTAAAGCTTATTGAATTCCTTCTCTGCTAAGTGTTTTACAGGTATTTATTCACTTAATTCACATATCAGAGGTCAGTTAGAATTACCCCTATTTACAAAGAAGAGAATAGAGGCCTGGAGAAGTCCAGTAGTTTGCTGGCAGTCACACAGCTGTTAAGCTGCAGAGAGGAGGGAAGACTGGTTTTTCCAGAAGGTGCTCGGGCATCTGCTCATCTGAAAAGCCCACCTGGAGTGTTGCCATCTCCAGCTTTTGTGCAGCCTGGGCGCCAGCAACATTACCAGCTGGCCACACGTTTGAGTTTGATCGTG